ATATATTAATAAGTTCATTCATGTACCTACTCATTGAGCATTGACCAAAGTATTTCGCCATCTGAGGTCAATAACCGAATCAGGAAACATCATATAATGGAAACAGTGTTAATTAACGATACGTTTTTGGTATTTGATTTGTTAAACTTTTTATTACAAAAGATGTCGTAAAGTAACAGATTTATTTACTTAAAAAGTCTAATATTGACAGTGATGCCTGATGTGACCCGGATTTCTGTGCAGACCTCTATTTAGAACTCTATAACTAAATGTATAAAGTTGAAAATGTATATAAAGATAGACTAGAGTAGGTTGAGTTTCTGGTGTCTGTACATACGGAAAAGTAAGGTAATCTGTTCTTATTTGCATAGAATATAAGCATTTAATATCTCAACATCATGACAACAGTAATTCCCTAGAAGAATACAGTAATAGTAATCTTTCTTTATTTCAAGCTCAGAGCTCATAAATGGTTAGTTACAATTTTCTTATACCTCTACAACTAGTGTTAGTAAAGTAAATTTGATTATCAATTACAATTACAATTATTATACAATCAGATTTCAATTAAAAAACAAATGATAAATGACTATGAAAAATAAAATTGTATGTAAAATTGGAATTTAATTAAACTAAAATAAAATTGAAATACAATTAAAACAATAATGGAATAAGTACATAAAAATAAAGATTGATGTAAAATTAAAATAAAATAAGAATAAAATTGAGAAATAAAAATTAAACAATAACAAAACATTAAATATAACGTGAGAATCCACTAGCAAGTAGCAATAGCATGCAACTTCATCCATGTCTTTAAACGGGGCAGATCCTATCGCTCGGACAATACCCTCCCTCAGCATGTCATTAGTGCTACCATGTAGGCGACCGATAAGTGAAACACTCCGCTTTCTAATTATGGCGAAAAAATATAGATTTTTAATGCTAGGTACTCTTAGAATATCTACCTTTAAAAAACCACTGCCTCATCATTTGAGTGGTCGCAAGTTTGTGCGATATCTGTTTTTTTAATGGGATATGGCCGGTAAACGAGCAGACGGATCATCTGATGCTAAGCAATCTGCGCCGTCCATGGTCACATGGAATACCAGAGCTAGAGAGAGAAACTAGTAGAGCTTTTCTCAGTATATTCACGTGAGTAACCCGCGATTTTATTTAATTTAGTATGACTCACGATAGTTATTATAAAAAGTGAAAACTGTACATTTTATTTTTTTTAAATAATGGTTCTGGCGTGAATTATAAGTGATACCGAAGCTAAAAATATGGTTTATGGAATGTTTGTCTGTTTGTCTGTATGTATATGTCCAGGCTAGACTCAAAGTAGGTATTGCATAGATTTACTTCAAATTTTGAATGAATATTACTTACAGGTCGGGTCAATATATAGGCTACATATTATCACCCTATAACCTGCGGGGGAGGAACTGTGAATCCCTCTTCCGACAAAGTCGTGAGCACAGCTAGTTAAGTATATTACATAAGAGCTATCTAATTACAATTAAATATATATTATCAGTGTGTACGCATTTCATATCGAAATGTGTTGATAACACAGTCAGGGGTCAAGATACGAAAGTACCTATTTCTACAATACCTCTATATTATTACAGTAAGTTATAAATATTTCAGGAATTGTTTGTGTAAAGCAATTTATGTGAACAGTTAACAGTCAAAGTCAAAGCATTTATCTTAATTAAACCACAATTTGGTATATGACGACCCATTCTTCGGCATGAATGGGTCGGTTCGACCGAAGTGAAACCACGGCCTCACAGAAAACCGACGTGAAGCAACGCTTGCGTTGTGTTTCGTCGCGTGAGTGAGGTTACCGGAGGACCACCCTGCCTTTCCCCAATCTCCCCAATCGCTGAATCCACACCGATCCTCAAACTCCTAATCCCCAAAAAGCAGATAACGCACTTGTAACGCCTCTGGTGTTCCAGGTGTCCATGGGCGACGCCGATTGTTTACCATCAGGTGATCCGTCTGCTCGTTTACCGGCTTATGCCAAAAAAAAAGAACCTATTATTTACTTTCTAAAACATGATACGGCATAATACGTTTTAAACCATTATTGGAACAGATCTAAAGAAACAGAATCAGGTTTATAAAATCACCTCTGTTTTTGGTCATTGCGAGTTGACATCATCGCATCTTTTGGCACGTAGCACAGCTTATGACAACCAAGTTACGAAACTCGGCCATTATCCTTTGAGAGGTACAATCGAACTACTTTCTTTTATACAGGTAGGTTGCCTTTACAAAAATTGGTAGCAGTTTATTGGTATTTATATGTGAGGTAACTGCGTCATTGATCAAGCGCTAATCTCGATTTAAAGACCTCCTTTTCGGCTCCGAGTCGGATAAAGTATTGTTCAGATTTTTAGTTTCTTTTTACTAGGTAACAGTTTGCGGTCTGGAATCCGGCTCGAAGAGCAGGAGTAGGAACGGGGTGGCTTTTAGTCAGTAAGAGTCTGACACTCCCTCTCGCCTAACCCAAGGCGGGAGAAGCCATTGGATTATTTCCCCCCCTCAAAAAAAGATAATTAGTGTTATGCTACGCATGCCTCCTCCTCACCCTTCAAGGATCAAAAGTTGTGACGTCAAAGTTTTATTTACTTAAGCGCCGATTGTACCTGTTTATGCACATGCGCCAAACAACTATGGTATGAAGCTAACGATCTAAATGTCAGTAGGTAAATCCTGTTACTATACAAGTCCTTATTCTTATATTATTTGCGTAGGTACTATAATAACGCTAATGGGATGAGCAATGTTGTAAAATGTCACTTGTTTTTCATTTGTTTTGTTTTGTTAGAATGTCTTTGTACATACTAGCTGATCCATATGTCTTCGTCCGCGTAGTACATATAGTTAGCTTATGTTCATATATCATGCATAGTTGAATGAATAGGCTCCGAAACGGAGCCTATTCAATTCTGTATTCTCAAATCAACGCATGCTGTGAAGTCTTGTTGTGCATTAGTAGTAAGAATTTTATACCTAATTTTAAGTTTATGTTAAGTTTGTAGCAACAACTGGATGTCCAAATAAATAAATACGAACAAACAAAAAATCAAATCTTTCCCCTTTATATTATTAGTAATAAATGTACCTACTATGGATTGATTCACAGTTGCTAGGGCAAGGCGTGATTTTAGAATGTTTGCTTTCCATTATTAGTTTAGTTAAAGTATCATTTATGTCTATGACATAAGTAATATACACCTTTTATGTTGTCTGTGGGCGAGGTGACGATATTAATCACCAATCTTAAACTAAAATCTATGTATTTTTAAGGTCGATTCTTGACGATAGTCGTAGGTGAAGAGGTCCTGTCAAAAACTTAAATGGATTCATAGACTTTGAATTGAAATCAGTTCAAGAAGTACCGTAAAATCGGGTGAATAGAATTCGAGGGGTGAATAAATACATGATTTTTTTTAAGGGGGAAAATCATCGAATAACTGCTCCCCTGTGGGTGAGGCGGGAGAGGGTGTCAGACTCTTACTTACTATAAACCATCCCGTTCCTTCTGCACGTCGAGCCGGAGCCCCGGTAACCCGTTAGGTTCTCCGCGACAGATACAGGAATGGGGCGGATAAGTGTTAGCATATTTTCCCACCATTTATTCACCCCTCTTCTGTATCTATTCACCCCTCAAATTCTATTCACCCCGTTTTACTGTAGGTACCTTAGATTTCAATTCAATCAAAGAAATCAATATGCAATAGGAAGCACCTTGTTATTGTGTACCTAACTAAGATTTTCCTCATCGGAAACCTTAGACCTTTAACTAATCAATAAATTAATATCTAAGTACATCGATTGCTACTATTGTAAGTAACATTTTGTGTAATAAAAACATCATTTTAATAAAAAAATAGAGTTGTGAGAGAAGAACAGAGAGGGAAGGGATTTTTTTTTAAGTGGGGATAATCATCGAATGACTGCTCCCGCCTGGGTGAGGCGGGAGGGAGTGTCAGACTCTTACTGACTAAAAACCACCCCGTTCCTTCTCCTGCACGTCGAGCCGGAGCCCCGGTTACTCGTTAGGTTCTCCGCGACAGAGGGAAGGGATAGATACAATTTGTATACAGGGGTAAAAAAAATGTTTATTTGTAAACAGTCGCGGTTTACACTTGTTAATACTTAGGTACTACTAATGGCCAGTTTGAAAAACCTATTTATAATAATAATAAAAATAAACCTATATACATATAACAATAATAAAATGTTCATTTGGTGTAAAAAGCCAGGCATTTGTACCTATCTGTAGAGATAGAACTCTGACACACATTTTATTCACCACGAAATGTGTGTGAGATTTAAATTATTATGTTAATGTTAAAATCCTAAAATTGTGACCGCTATTACAAACTCTTGTTACTCCTGGACAAATCAAAAAATGTAAAATTAATTTAAGTATTTATTTCTGTACAAGTGATTTGTAATCTTTTAGAAATAAATTAATTCAAACCGTAGATTTAAACCAAAATTCTCCAATATATCTAAAATGAACCAATTAGTCAATTCTTATCTTCATTTCATTTTTGCATTTAACTGCTTTGAGGAAAACTTAAACGCTCAAGTTGCTCAGATAACATTTAAATATAGGCACGGAACGTAAATAATCAACAACAATACGCACAATACCAAGAAAATTACAATTTATTTGTAAGCTCATGTTAATAGGGAATTTTCAAAATTAAATTCTCAATAATAACGCACCACTACAACGCCGAATACTGAAAATAATTATACAGCAAATAACTGTGAAGTTAAATTAAACGTAAACGGCATTACGTCAAACTTATTTCCTAAAAATAGTGTTCAACAAATAGATTTGCTTCCTCCAAATGTTCGCACGCTGAGTTTCGTACGCGCCGCGGCGTCTATGTCAACATAATTAGCATGAACTGTCTGTAGCGCGCTCTGACGTACTCGGGCTCTGGGGATTTACAATAAAGCAAGAGGCTTGTTTCTTCGCGTCTCGGGAAATACTATATTCATATAAAAACGGTTGTGCCCACCACAGAGCATCATTACACTTCAAGCTTACTTCAAGCAACGTTATCCCCGAATTGTTTCTTTCAAGTGTCGGTAACCTTTGCTTAAAATAAATACTATTTACATTTTATATTGTGGAATATTTATAACAGTTTTAAAAGCAAAATGGATTACAAATTCGGTAAGCATTGTTTTTTTTTATTTGCTTCAATTTGACATTAATTTGAAATTGGCGAAATGGCGCCAAAACTTTGCGACAAGTTTTTTAAAGTTTACTTTTTACAAGTTCTTAGATAAATTCAGTTTTCGGACAAAATTTAGTTATACATATCTACATTTGTGAAATGCTTTCTTTTTCTTTTGAATGAAGACTTTCTTTTTTGTAAAGAACAATGAATTATCCGTGTTTACCGCACAAACTTATACGTTACGAACCCACATAAGTAACCATAATGCGTTCCTATTCAAGTACACTTTCCCTTCGGCAGTCGACAGTCTCCGTATACAAAACATATTATTATTGTACCACAAAATTATATAGAATGCATATCAATATAAAATCTACGAAAAAAAAACATTTTTGTTTATGCTTTGTTCTCATATATTTGACCTTATTACCCATCTAACACAAACATCGCGAACAATTTCTATGAAAGAGAATTTAGCGGTTGATTTGATTTAAAAAAAAGAACCCATATTTTCTTTTTTTTTAAATGTTGACAAAAGAGAGCGTACCAATAGGGACATTTTTGTATATTGATTACTATTGGAATAAACCAGCCAAGATGCCATTTACGTAGGTATGAAGTGTTAAGTAATATTTCCTATGGACTTGCTAAAATTCACACCAGAATTTACATATTTGGAACAAAGATATGTAATAGTTAACATAGCGTGACTACACTGTTCACAATATCATAAAATATAAGTACCTACCTAATACTTAGGCACTGAGTTAGTCTAGACTTCAGACATTAAGGAAGGTCATTTCAGATAATTTTCTAAGAAACAAATTTAAATTCTTTTATGTAACATCAAGTACTTACATTTTATTTGAATATTTTTAAAATGACATCAATGTCAGACTTTTCATATAAATTTTCTGAATCCGGCTTATAATTAGTTCCAATTAGATATGCATTAATAAGATGATATGTATTTACATACATTCATTACGGAACATATAATATTTGTTTTTGTTTTAAAGTTAGATATCATACGTTGAAAGGCCAAGGTGAAATATTTCAAGTTGTGTAACCATGCGCCTGATAACTCGTTTTATTATTTAAAGATGTCACAATCCGTTGTGTGAACTGTAAACAAATTTTATGATTTATTTTTGTTTGCCAAACGATACTGGGAATTAAATTCAAAATATATTCTCGCAGTCATTTATAGAGTAAGTGAAGCTAGTTAGTGGCAATACAAAATGGTACAATCAATTTAATTGTAACATTCTTCTTGTTTCAGGAGTAGCACTTTTCGTCAGCGCCATCATCTGCACAGCCCAGGCGTTGCCGCCCTGCACGTGCACAAGGAACTACCTCCCCATCTGCGGGTCCAATGGGGAGACCTACAGCAACCAGTGTCTACTAGACTGCGCCAGGTACAACACCCACCAGGACATCACCGTCGTCAAACAAGGACCTTGTGAGGGTGAACAACAGGCTGTCGTCGTCGGTGAAGAATGCGTGTGCCCATTCAACTACCTCCCAGTGTGCGGTTCTGACGGCTCAACCTACCCCAACCAGTGCAGCCTGGACTGCAAGAAAAAGCACTTCCCTGGCCTTGCCCTGCGTCACGCTGGTGCCTGCGTCGAAGCCACTGAGGCTCCCCTCTGTGTCTGCACCAGGGAGAAGAAGCCAGTTTGTGGTAGCAACGGTAACACCTACGCCAACGACTGCCTCCTCAACTGCGCCACCATCCAGGACAACACCCTCAGCATCGCCCACTACGGTCCTTGTGAGGACAAAGTCAAGATCGTTGACCACATTCAACTCTACTAAGTTCTAAGTCAACCAAATATTTTAGACACTAAGTTAAGAAAAATACTGCCATTAATATGATGGCTAAGTACCTACTCAATAATTTGACTTGCCATCACAAAAAACATACGCTTTTAAATTATATAAACTGTTAAGATCGAAATTAACTAAAAATCGTGAGTTACTCACGTGAATATACTGGGAAAAGCTCTACTAGTTTCGAACCAGAGTTAACATCTGATGTAAAATGATTGATCGTTGTAAAATTATTTTATTGTCACGTTTAATGAATGTATTTGTTGCTATTTATTAAAATACCTTTTTACATTTAATGAAATCTTTCTTTTTTTACATCATACGTTCACCTATAAGATAAATTAAATAAAAAAATTAGATGAAATACGACAAGGTTATCAAAATTTTGGTAAAATCAGACATTGCATAGTTATACAGATTTTGTCCTAGAACCTAGCTAACTCAAATCCACTGGCATAGGTATGTAATATTTTAATTATATTCTTAAAGTTACATTGTACGTACCAAGTCTGATAAAAGCATTTATAATTATTACAAGGCGATAAGCAGTGACGTGTATTTCAATATTTTACAGTTTGGCTGTTTTAGTGGGTTATAATGAGTTGATGAAAAAGATGAAGTGGTCTTTCGGTAAGTATAAACAAGATGTCAAGATAAAGTTATGGATATTACAGATAAATTACAATCCTCAAGTGAATTAGTTAGCACCTTCACAGAAGGATGTAGAGTAAGTGAACTGACACATATTTTAAAGTGCGAAGGGCCCAGTATAGAACCTTGAGTAAAACCAAAATTCTACGAGCTTATGCATATAAACATACATAGGTAGAAAAAAATTCGATAATTTTATCGACTCAAAGGCTTTAGTGAAGTCCAGTCACCGTTTCAATAATAAATTTCATTCTTAAATAAACAGTAATTAAACAAGGTCTATTTAAACCTCCTTACCCAAACAGGATTATTGTTGGTGCTGGGTGTACACTCTATACTGGCCGACAATGAAGACCCATACGTACAAAGTAATGAACCAAATGAAGATGAAGGAAGAGACGGCGGTGACGACTGTGACTGTCCTGAAATGAAAAGGCTGCTGTGTGGCACTGACGGGGTGACGTACTTCAACCTTTGCAAGCTCCTTTGTGCCAGTGACAAGGATTCTAGCATCAGCATGAAGTACCCTGGAAGGTGTTATTAAGTGATAGGATAGGCTTCTCAACATCTTGTAAGATGTTTCAAGGTGAAATATGATAGACCAACTAATAACGAGAGCTTTATACAAAATAGCCATTTAAAAAACCGTGTCTTATGCGACTTGGCATAAACGATTTAACCTAAAATTCGAGTCAGCGTAGTTTAAATTACTAATGACGAAATGGTGGTCGATTATTACAGTGATATTACATTTATATACTGAAAAATAAAATATCGAAAAATCTGAGTGTGTTCATTTATTACCGACTTCATTTTTAGTGGATTATTCGTTGTAATATTTATTTTTATTGACTAAAATGATTTTACTCTAAACTATACCAAAATTGAAAAATGATTGTTTCTAAAATTAAACAACATTAGAACGGCGAAGGCTCAAGTAGGATCAATTCGAGCATTAACCTTTATGAAAACTGAAAATGATAATCAAGATATCCAAGGTGCAAATAGAGGAAGAAAAATGTTTTGAAGTGCACGTAGGTATAATGTACGTATTTTATAATCACTATTTCAGATAAATCTATATTTTAACAGGATGTCCCTGAAGTCGACAATCAAATGGCACCAGGTGATCGGAAAAGTTCCAACACTTATCAGAAAAATATAAAAACAATTTTAAGTCATATAGTTTTTAAATTACAATGACTGTATATGTATAATCGACGAAAAAGTACACCCTGTGCTAGTCTTTAGATTCCTGTTGCTACAATTATTTATTTTTTCGTCTGTATTTTTGCTTACGTTGTCCTGAATAGTGCTGCAGTATTATGGAATCATAAATTCTGAACCAACTGCATTAATTTGGAAAATAATGTTATTTTTTGACGAACCAAGTGTTCTTAACATAATTTTCACCATATCTTAAGTCCCCATCACTTTGACTGTAATATATACAATACAAAACAAACTAAATTATGCGGCTCGATCAGGGGCGTAGCTAGCGCCGTATCTGCCGTATCAATTATATGGGGCCCCCAACGTGTGTAAGCAAGAATATAAGAACTTCTCAATTTATATTTTATTTCAGTAATCACAAAATATATGCGTTCAAAGGTTGGCAGAAACCATGATATAGAGAAAACTATATAGTATCTAGAGAAAACTAGATATATAATAGAGAAATCTTTTCTATGGTAGAAACTTTGGAAAAACTAAAGTAATCTTTATTCGATAATTTGGGCAGAGAGAGAGAGAGAAAAAAATGTCTTCTGAGAAATATTTACCTTTCATAAGGGCCCCCAAACAAATTTTTATACGGGGCCCCGCCAAGATACGCTACGCCACTGGGCTCGATCCCTAGACGTGATTACTGTATCAAACGCAAATATAAGTTTATCGAGTTTTGGGTTACCGCAGTGGACTTTACACTGTAACTGCAGGGCGCATAGTTGAAATTAGATCTAAACCGCTATAATAAATGCGAAAATTTGTGAGTTTGTATGTATATTTGTTACTCAGTCACATCAAAACTGCTGAAGAGATCGAGATGAAATTTGGAACATAAGTATATTATGGTCTTATACTATACTAGCGACCCGCCCCGGCTTCGCACGGGTGCAATATGCATGTATTATACATACAAACCTTCCTTAAGAATCACTCTATCTATTAAAAAAAACCGCATCAAATTCCGTTGCGTAGTTTTAAAGATCTAAGCATACATACGGACATACAGCGAAAGCGACTTTGTTTTATACTATGTATTGATGATATTGATATGAATAAGGCACTTTACTCGATAGATGAATGAATAAGAATCAATTATAGCATGGTCAATTTTATACTTTGTCTTTAATTAAATTGACATTCACATCTTAAAATAATTGTTATTATTTGGATTTGTTAAGACCACTTTGTTGGTTTGACTACAAGACGATTGTCACTTTAATCAAATTTATTGAATTCTTAAGCCCCCTTACGCACTAGCGGTTAACCGCCTAGGCGGTTCGTATCAACAGACGCGGTTGCCATAGCGGTTGCGGGTTACATATTAAATTGGAAAAGCGCTCAACCGCAGGGAGCGGCTAGCCGCGCGGTTGACCGCAAGTGCGTAAGGGGGCTTACTGGTTTATTTATAAGGTTATTTTTAACAATTTTCTAGCTATATTTAAAAGAATTACGTAGGTATTTGTTTTGTTGGAAACTCCAATACTACCTACACGAAATACACTATCAAGATTTGTCAGCATCGGTTGTCAATCAAAACTCCTAAAAAATAATAGATATTCACCACCCGACATTGGCAGTATAGTCGACAACATCGTATTGGAGACTCGGTTGCCAAAGAAGAAAAAAAAACAAAATAATAGAGATGGTAATTGGGCATTAAGCACCCCGTAATAAGGAGGTGCTAATCTCCTTCTTTCAAGCTATTGTTACTGCAAAATATGAAAAATACAAATAATCATTGCAATAATTTACCAATAAATATTAATTAAACGGTAATCGTGTACAAATTTATCGCGTGAAAGTAAGCATATAATATTTGATAGCACACAACGGTACTCACTTCTCGGATTATAACAGTTATGATATAGAAAAATTGAAATGTATTTAACCGTGGGTGAGTAATTGTTTTCCTGAATATCATATAACATAACACAGGTGCACATTGCGGCACTTAATGCCACTGTACAATGTAACACCCACTTTTTACTATTTAATGTTATGAGTCCAATTTCCACCATTAAGGGGTGAGCCTATGGCTATATACCGGGCACAATTCTAGACCCCGTGTGGCACTACTGAGATTTTTTAAAAAAACTCAGTAATACTTTGCCCGTCCCGGGAATCAGGACCACTTGCTCGACAGTCGCACTTGCGACCACTCGGCCAACGAGGCAGTTTTCCTGGATATTATATGAGAACTGGAGGCCAATACCTACAGACTTGTTCTCAAGACTTTTTAATAATGGGTACATCAATTGAAGTACTCTTAAACACAGTTAGATGAAGACTTAACTCGTCGAGTACCGGTTTTGTAGACACAATTATAAAACAATAGGTTGCGGTCATCGGTGACCGCTTGGTGTTTGACAGTTTAAACAATAAGTTCCTTTTAAAGTTCCAAAGCTAAAAACAGCTATCTTTGTCACAGGCATAATCATCACCGCATCAGTACTGCTGGCGGTACTACCAGGGATCAACAGTTCTTGCACAAGTTTCTCAGCCCTGGCCGAACCCTGTGGTTGCACCATCTCGAAAGAAAACTTCGACCCTTTATGCGGTTCCGACGGCGGAACCTACATGAACGAATGCTTCTTAGAGTGCGAAAAGACAATAAGTCGTGTCGATATTAAAGTTAGCCATAAAGGAGTATGCCAGCCTGACTCGCGGTGCTCCTGCCACGCCAGATACGAACCTATGTGTGCCACGAACGGAGTCACGTACTCCAACGAATGTGTCTTGGAATGCAACAGGAAAAAGGATTCTTCAATCAGTATGAGTCATAAAGGAGAGTGCCCGGGTGGCGGAAATTCACGGTATTTATAAAACTACACTAAAAGCTTCATCTCATTTCTGTAACCATGTGTTATCTTCAGTCATGGCTACTACTAATTAATTCATAATTTAAGTGTGGGAGAGCCTTGCTTCGGCACGAATGGGCCGGCTCGACCGAAGTGATACTACGGCCTCACAGACAACCGACGTGAAGCAACGCTTGCGTTGTGTTTTGTCGTGTGAGTGAGGTTACCGGAGGCCCAATTAGGTACCCTCCCATTCCCCAATCTCCCCAATCCCTGAATCCCCAACGATCCCCAAACTCCTAATCCCCAAAAAGCCGGTAACGCACTTGTAACGCCTCTGGTGTTCCAGGTGTCCAGGAGCGACGCCGATTGCTTACCATCAGATGATCCGTCTGCTCGTTTACCGGCTTATGCCATAAAAAAAATAATGAAATGGTTGCAATTCCTATTGCTTTATAGTTGTTTTTACTAACAACAACACTTAGGAATGTACCTACTTAGCTGCTTTTTCTTCACCTTAGTGTCTTTTCTGTTTCATATTCATACTCATTCAGGACGCACTTTAAAAACCTTTAAAAACAGGTATTTTGGCAACAACACTAATGCAGTATAAGCACCGTAATACATTTGACCTAAGGAATAATATTGCTTGATTGCCAGGCAATTATAATCAGTCAACTGTGACAGGTAAGGAAATTGGATTAACAGACCTGTTCACCTCAGTAGAAGCAACTGGAGAGACATCATTTTAGTACAAAATTCTTACTGACGGTCGGTTGTACTATGATATCGTAAGCAAATCATCTGTGTACTGAATACGTTAATTTTTGGATTTAGAGCACAGAATTACAAGCGTGCGCACGCACACGAAACTCTTACACACATAATCCGACATTGTAATGTCGTATGTGACAAGTTTACGTGATCAGATCACAAATGCAGTGCGTATAAAACTGTCATGGAGCCAAAAAAAACTGCTAGAAAGAATTAAATTAACAGAGTTAAAATGACACCACTAATAAAAACGTACACATAGGTTCATATCAAGAACTGTATTAAAGACGTGTACTTGCAACCCGGCGAGCGGTCCGATCTGCGCTACAAATGGCGTCACCTATCCCAATTACTGTGTGATGCGCTGCGATTCCGAAGCCTTGAACGACAAGTCCATAGACTTCGACCACTGGGGAGTATGCAGCTCTAGAGAACACCAGAATTATAAAGACCCTAAGAACTGCAAAGGAAAGCAATCAAACGGAAATGATAATCGGTAGTTTATCTTATAATTTGATGATCAATCGACTCCGTCAAATGCTACAAGCATTTTTAAGGGACTACAGATACCAGCTATCTTTTTCGTGTACACGAGCTAAAAGAACTGGCTAACGCAGTATTTAGAGTAGAGTAATGAACTTAAAGTGCAACATAGGTTTTTTTCTTTCTCGAATGACAACCGAGTCTCCAATACAGTGTTGTCGACTATAATGCCAGTGTCGAGTGGTGACGGCAGATTAATCAACCGTCGAACTTTAACTTTCTGGTAGTTGTTAGTAACTGGAAGGGACAAATCTTAATAGTAATAATACTTTATACATACAATAGATATAATAATATTAATCAAAAAATTAAACACGCAATATTCACATTACTACACACCGTCATATTTTAGTATTATTTTCATTAAGGAATTCGGATAGACATTTGACTAACTTGGGCGAGAAATGAGTTAGGAGAGAGTAGAATTTGATTTGAAGGGCAATTTGGATATTGGAAGGTTTTCCTATAAGTTGAAGGACTGGGAATCCAGAGGGCAGGAAAATAATACTTATATGGGAATATAGATACCATCATCGAGACCGCATTCGCACACGCATCTTGTTGAGAAAACTAACATAGTTAGGAACCTCACTTTCATGGCATCATTCTGTTTATCCACAGTAATTACTTTTATCTATCGTGGAACCCGTATCTTACCTTTTCTTCTGTATCAGCTGTTGCTTTAGTCACTATGTATGAACATCTTAGTATTAATATTCCGTATTACGTTCTAACCGACTCATTTTCACAATCATCCTTTGAAGTCACATCCTTTTTTTGTTTATTGTATTTCCTAAATCGGGTTAAACAAAAATCTGGCTACAATTTTCTTCCTATTAACCTGACAAATACATACAAGGCGCATGTAATGCCCCGAGTGTTGCAGGCGTACATAGGCCACAGTAACCGCTTACCATCAGGTGGACCGTGCGCATTTTTCCACCGTCATGGTTTAAAAAAACCATCTGTGCAGGTTGAATTATGAAAACAATCAACAAGGTAAACCAAAGAGAATATGTGATTGCCCTCTCAACTCGATAAGTTATTATTTCCGATGCGGGAGCACTAATCGGGACAGTTGCGTTTGCGCAACAGAAGAGCCTAAGTCACAGGATCTCAAGAACATTTGTAATAACAAGTACGTTTAACATAACTATCTTCATCAGTGTCTATAGCAATTAAGCTCAAGTTAATCATAATTAGAATATAAAGGGTGGAATTTTGTTATTCCATCTGAAGGGGAAGTACTCTTAATACTTTAGATAGAAAATTTTACTCAAAGAAAACATTCCTATATTTTTGAAAAGAAACAAAACTGCATGTAAGCATTTCTAAAAATTAGCTTGCCTCACACGGTAATGGTACCGACTAAAATCTATCAAAGTTGGCACTCTGTACTTTTATTGCATTCATCGTTCATTGTTTTCCTTTCATTAAATGTTAGAGAGATTTCATCCTTATTGACCCTAACAATCGATGCAATAAATGTACTTACAGGGTGCAACTTTTACAGGTTTTAGTCGGCTCTATTGGTGTGCAGCAAGCGAATTTTAAAAATCTCTGAATGCAGTTTTCTTTCGTTTCAAAAATAAAGGAATGTTTTCTTTGAGTAAAATGTTCTATCTTAAGTATTAAGAGTACTTTCCCTTCAGGTGGCATTACAAAATTCCACCCTGTATAGTTTACGCCCGAATACTGAAAGGCTACTCAATTATAAGTTGTACTTAAAATCTTTTAACAACTTAACTTACTTAAATATCTTGCCGTCTCTGTCATTTTATAAAGAATTTGTAGTGGCAAAACAAACGCGACTTAAAATTGAGTGTCATTTGTAAATCACTCATAATTGTTCGACGGTTGCACAACTAGTTTCAAGCTAAGAACGGAACTCATAACTATGGGTAGCATACGCCGCAACATCTACGCGAGTTTAAAAGAAAATAAGTTGTTTCCTTAACAAAACATTTCAGAGACATATGATGCATAATAGCGTTTGGCCGAGTTGATTGATTTTAAATAATATAATTTTAGTATTCATAATATATTTCGTCACCTACCCATAAGTTTTATTCAAAACTTAATCAAGATACAAAAGTTGGAACCAACGAATATTGGATATGGAAAGAAAATAATAATAAGGAAAATTAAAAACGTCGAAGTGTTAAAGAATTTAGTAGTCCAACGTTTTCACCCTCAAAACGAGTACCGACCACAGACTATTTTCATCTCACTGCAATATTGTTATTAAAAATATTATCTGAACGTAAACTCAAAGAATTTTAACGTTTTTAAATAGCTCTGTGACGACAAACTACATTAATTTATATGTTTTACATCCTCAGGGACGACTCAAACGATCATGTAAATATGAAAGAACCACAGGGTTCTAAAAGTCGTTGCACATGCGCGGCGGTGCACAAACCAGTCTGTGCAAGCGATCACAACACATATGCCAACGTATGCGTGTTACATTGCCATGCTAAGAAGGACTCTAGCATTAAATTCCTGAAGATGGGTGATTGTTCCGGCAGCGACCCACGGTACGTTACGATTTTCCACTTTATTGGAAGACGATAAAGTCGAAATGATTTGAAAGTTTAAGCAAGATAAATAAAAATGAATTTCCATTCGTTAGTCTCGGTAAAACTCGAGAACAGCTGAACCGATTTGGCAATTTTTGGTCTTGAAATGTTCTTGGAAGTCCAGTCAAGGTTTAAATTAAAAGGTGAGAAAAATATTATTAAGCGGTACGAAGTTTGTAGGGTCAGCTAGTAAGCAATATTATCTTGTAATATGGAAAATGAAATTATCACTAGTGATTAGTCACTAGTAGTATAAAACGTAAGTCGCTATCCGCCGTCTGTCTGGCCCTATGTATGCTTAGATCTTTAAAACTACGCAACGGATTTTGATGCAGTTTTCTTTAATAGATAAAGTGATTGTTAAGGAAGGTTTATATGTATAATACGTGCATATTGCACCCGTGCGAAGCCGGGGCGGGTCGCTAGTGTTGTATATTCCTGGATTCTCTGATACAAAATTAAATAAATAACAAATCTTCACCCTCAATCTTCATCATCATCATCATTATTTTATCAGCTAAAGGTGTTCACTGCTGAACACAGGCCTCCAACAATGACTTGAACTTAGCAGATTAAAATCACAACTTTGTATTGGGATAATTTGTGACATTTATTACTATAGAGTTACTGTCAAACAATTTAAATCATTCCCTAATAAATGGTGTAGTTAGACGGGGCCCCGTCATGGCACACTAAGCACACTACACATAATACGAACTGCACAGTTGGTGCGGTGGTTGGGCAACTGGCTGCCGAGCAACGTGTCGCGGGTTCGATTCCCGCACGGAACAATTTGTTGTGTGCTGCACAGGTTGTTGTTTCGGGTCTGGATGTCAAGTGTATGTGAACTTGTATGTTTGTAAACGCACCCACGACACAGGAGAAAATCCTAGTACGGGGCAACGTTTTAAAATAAAATCAAATCAAAAAACAAATACTAATGTCAGTCTCAAAACTTTCTAGGTCAACGACTCTCTCTCTGCCAAAATCATAGAACAATTACTTAAGTTTTTCTAAAGTTTCTGCCAACCTTTGAATGCATGCTTTACGTGGCAAAAAAAAACACTTATTTTTACTTTTCGAAATACTGAAATAAAATGTAAATTAGGAGGTTTTTATTATTTTTTGCTTAAGCACGTTGGGGCCTTGATACGGCAGATAGGGTGCTAGCTACGCCCCTGATCACTAGTTTTTGGATTTCGGTTATTAGTTATCTCTATAAAACGTTTATATTTATATTTTTCAGGCTGGTAACGAGATATGGTAATGACGACTCAATACTCCGTATGCTACACTTCCGCAGGGCACACCATCGTCGGAACAACAACCAACGATGGCTCCGTCACTGATACATTGAAGAATTAAAACAATACATAACTGTTGTTGATATTTTTTTATCAGGCCTTTAGGACTTCACTTATTCTATTATTTCCTACCAATTAATACAATAGGGATGATGACAGGGTATGAAAATTAAAAATGTAATTAGTCCGTCAGTTAGGTAATGAAAAAATATTAGACACGTATTTTTTTATTTTGTTGTATAATAAAATGATACTTAGATATAACGAATCAAAGTTAAGGAGTGGGGGCTTAAACGTCATTTTTACGTATAAAATGCACATAGAAGTGACGTCACGCGACATTTCAAATCAATATATCTTCGAAACTATTCGTTTCCGTAAAAAATAAAAATATTGTTTTTAAATAATCTACCAGAGGAACATTAAAATAAAAATTAGTCATCTACCCTATTCTTACAGTTTCAAGCATTCAATTTGTATGTAATATATAGAATTCTATTCCTAAAGCTGATGCGGAATACGACAAAAATATTTTTTTTACTTGTATGTATAGTTAAAGCAACAGTTCCACAAGCTATAACGACCGCAGAGGACATGGGCGCTAGGAAGATGGGGCATCATTTGACGCGTGCACCAGACTAGACACGACTTTCAGTAATGAAGAAAACGACTGCGAAGATGAGATGTATGGTTTTTATATCAAACTGTCATATAACTGCACGGTTGTCGCGGTGGCTGGGCAACTGGCTGCCGTACAACGTGTAGCGGGTTCGATTCCCGCACGGATCAACTCTGTGTGCGATCAACAAATTGTTATTTCTAGCCTAGGTGTCATGTGTATGTAAAATTGTATGTTTGTAAACACACCCACAACACAGGAGTGCAGAAATCATAATATGAGACAACATTTTAAAAAAAGACAAAATAAATTTCACACATTTTAAGTTGTATTCCTTTCTCAGGCGGAATAATTTGAACATTAATTATCTGAATTAATTAAAACCGATATTTTTCATCACATTTTGATATCAATATCGGAAAACCGATCCCTAACGCACTGTATATGCCGCGGAGAACCTAACGGGTTACCGGGGCTCCGGCTCGAAGTGCAGGAGAAGGAACGGGGTGGTTTTTAGTCAGTAAGAGTCTGACACTCACGCCTCACCCAGGCGGGAGCAGCCCTTCGATGATTTTCCCAATTAAAAAAACCACACTGTATATGTATAGACGACTCAATAAAACAAAAAGAATATGACAAAAAATCTTTATAAACAAATAAATATCACATTAGTTATAGATCTAAGTTGGCCAATAATTCATCATCTTCATCGTCATCTAAGAAGGATCTGTCTCCGTCATCACCATTAGATTCCTTACCCCCGTCCACCTGATCCATTGAGGTGTTTTCATTTTCTTTTATTGAATCCTTCCTAATATTTGTACCCGGAATATAGTCGTTTTTGTTCTTTATTGTATTCGGTGTGAGGTACTGTGAAATATTGTTTTTTGGTTCCTAAAAAGAAAAGAAATCAAATTAAATTCTTACATACATACATACATAACTTCACGCCTGTCTCCCATGGGGGTAGGCAGAGACTAAGGAACGCCAATTACTACGATTCTTACATACCTCTTTCGCTTCAATAACAGTCATCAATCTTTTCATGCATGCTCGTCGGTTAAAGTACTTTTAATTTGGCCCTTCTTTAATATATCGCCAATCTGGTCACTATATGTCCGTCTAGGGCGCCCTCTACCGACGACCCCATTCATATCCGCTCTGTATACTTCTTTCGTTACTCTAATTTCATTCATCCTTCTTACATGTCCAAACCAAACATTACATTCTTGTTTATTAAAAATATGTTTTAGGATATTCTCTGTTATTCCGATTTGAAATCCATGTCCAGATAGGGATAGACAAACAAATAACTGACTTGTGTGGGAATCGAAATCAGTCGGTTAGCCATTGTGGGAGAGCCATACTTCGGCACGAACAGGCCCGCTCGAGCGCAGTGATACCACGGCCGAGCAGAAAACCGACGTGAAACAACGCTTGCGATGTGTTTCGTCGTGTGAGTGAGGTTACCGGAGGCCGAACTACTCTCCCCCTTTACTCCCCAATGTCCCCAATTCCTGAATCCCCAACATTCCTCAAAAGGCCGGTAACGCACTTGTAACGCGTCTGGTGTTCCAAGTGTCCATAGGCGACGTCGATTGCTTACCATCAGGTGATCCGTCTGCTTGTTTAGCGGCTTATAGCATAAAAAAATGGCGTCGAAGTAAGGTCAATGGTAATTATTTTTTGTTTATATATTAAGCAAGTACTTACTTGATGTGTTAACGTGCTATCTTCGAATGTATCTCTACTCAATCCTACGTTGTTGAGAACCTGTAAAAAATAAACATATAGTTCGAGAATTTAAGAGATACAATCTTATGTTGATAAACACTTTACACTACTTCAAACTCCGTGCTATTTCCTGAGAATCGATTTAAAGACCAAATCGAATGAAATCGATCAGACTCGATATAACATTCCAATTTGTAAATCGAGACGAAACATAAGAACGTTTGTTATAGAACATTCTCAATAAAATAGTATCTAACTGAAACAACAATAGGTTTATTAAGCTAAGGATACACAGAGGACAAATGTCCAAATACATGTATCGGCGACATACATAACATTACGCCTTTTTATCCCCGAAGGGGTAGGCAGAGGTGCACATTTCGGCACTTAATGACAATGTAACACCCACTTTTCACTATTTATGTTATAAGTCCCATGTAATAAGGGATGAGCTTATTGCCATATACCGGGCACATTTCCAGACTCCGTGCTAACTGAGATTTTTAAAAAACCCAGTAATACTTTGTCCGACCCGGGAATCGAACCCGAGAACCCTTGGACGGCAGTCGCACTTGCGACCACACGGCCAACGAGGCAGTATCGGCGACATACTGAGCGAAATCAGCCGATGTCGCCTAACATAAGCGGTGACAACGCGCGACTTATTTCCACAGTGACGTTGATGTTGCCAGACATGTCGACCAAAGTCTGGCAACATCGCGCTACTTCACCCGACGTCGCTGGCGCCACGTGTCGCAGGACATTTGTCCTAGTGTATGGTCGGCTGTATGTCGTACGTTGAGTTTACTCTGCAACATGGGCCACATGTAGTCGTCCGCAGTCCGCGCCGCCAACAAGTACCGCACGCAGACTGCGCCCGCCTGGCCTATACGGTGCGCACGCGACTCCGCCTGCGTCAGGATCTGGAACCAATATTTATTCATTTTGAAAATAAGTAATTTTTTAAACAAGATACTGAAGTGCGAAAAACATTGTACTCTATGCCCTGATACGTAGCAAAGCAAGTCCTTTCGACAAGGGCATGTTGCCACTTCATTGATTTTTTGACCCGACTTCAAAAAGGAAAAAAGGAGGTTCTCAGTTTGACCTGTATGTATGTATGTATATATATTTGTGCGCGATTATCTCGCGATTGGCCGATTTTGATGCGGTTTTCAGAAAATTGATGTTACACTTACGATAACGTTTTAGTATATTAACTCGTCGAGTACCGGTTTTGTAGACACAATTATAGAACAATAGGTTGCGGTCACCGGTGACCGCTTGGTGTTTGACAGTTTAACTAACAGACTTCAAAAATAGAGTTGAAGTCGGTTTTTTTAACGTAGTTTATTTACATTATTACATATGATTATTTTTTAAACTGTTCTTTTTATGTTGTTGTTCGTTTTATTACTCTTTTTGTTTGTGTATTTGGTGTATAAAATATGTTTCTTTCTTTCAAAGATCAGGTAGCAGTGTTGTCTTATAAAGTTATAAACCTCAACTTTAAACTGCGATCTGGAACACATCTTCCAACCGTGGAAATAATGGTAAATCTCTCTTTTGTTGAGAATGTCTAATAAGCCTATAGACCAGAAGTGGTATGTCTGGGCCTGATGATGTACGCTTTAATTGAGTAAAATATGTTGTATATAGAATAGTATGTAAGACAGTGACCCCTGGGTTCCAGTGCAGCTCCGCGAAGAGTACGAGGTTGGCGGCAGTGAGCGTGATGCCGGAGTTGGCCGCCGTGATGGACAGCACGGCGCAACGACACGACGGACTGTGCTGGAACTTGTCCACTAACTCCTGGATAAACGACAATATACGATTTTTATTTTAACTTTGTAATTGTAGTGAGAAATGTAGACCCGTGTCTGCACTTATCGTTAAGAACCTTTAGAACTTACTACCGACTGTTCTATAATGGTAAATGTCAAACCTCTACTTATGTCATCTGGAGATCGGCGTTACCTGATTACTAGCTTCAACTTCTATGGCTCTAGATTAATATTAATTTCTAGCTCCCCCCTCCCCCTGTCCCGACTTCTACAAAATTGATATTTCTACCTTCATCTTTCTTCTAGAGGCTATTTTACCCAGTGTATGTGTTTTAATATCAATACTAATAAGCTAAGCCAAAGTTAAAATATTATTGGTTACTCGAATAAATAGTATGCTATATTATTCGATCAATAAAAAAATATATTTAAATAAGTATACAGTAATACTCACCGCCCTGGCGTGGGCGGGCGTGGAGCCCACGATACAGATGTATGGCGCGGCCGCCGCGTCCAGGGTGCCGCACACCGCGTCGATGACGCCGCGGTGGTGCGCGAACACCAGGAACTTGCTCGCGGGCTGCGACACCACCAGCGAGCGGATGTATTTACTGAGGAAATCACATGTTTTAACGTATAATGATGGTTTATAGACAAAACCCAATAAGAAAATATAAAACCTAGTTGCTATATGGAACTTTAATTAGCGTTTTCGGCCAGGGAAGTAACACAGATTATCAGCGGGGTACAGTTTAAGTCTAATCAGCTCACAACGAGACGCGACGCGACACTGCGCGCACATTTTATAAGATCGACTCGAAAACTAACTTTATTTTCTACCCTTATTGTCAACTTTACGATGTTTTTATAATGACTATCGTGAGACATACTAAATTAACTAAAAATCTCGGGTTACTCACGTGAATATA